AATATGAACCTAAAAAATAAATAGCACAACAAATAGCAATCATCTTTTTGAGAAACAGAACTCATCCTTAAACTCTGAAGTTTAGAAAAACTGGGGAGAGATTTAACATATTCACTGCTTGTTTTTTAATAACTTTTAAGTCTCTAAAGTCAGTTTGTTAGTTTACAAACACTGAAAAATCAATATACCTGGCCTACCCACCAAAATATTAGCCTTGAGGTGCTATGTTAACACTGTGCTTTATACAGAAAATAATCGTTAGCACAAATAAACAGCTAGATTTTTTCTAAAAATTTTAAAATATACCAAAGTAGAGAGAATAGTATAATATGCTTGTTACCCAGCTTCAACAATTCTCAATAATGACTAATTTTAATTTATGCCTTCACCATTCCTTCAGTCTGGAATATTTTGAAGCAAATTCCAGGCATACTATTTCTCGAATTAACTTCACTCCAGTGGTTTATTACAGACACCTCAGATGCTTATGAAACTGATAAAAGAATCTCTGACATTGAGGTTTATAGGAAACCACCAGAGCATCTTCAAAAGTGGCTCGTATGAGAGTTCTAGTCGCTCCAAATCTTCACCAACATTAGCTGTCAGTCTGAATTTTAGCTATTCCAGTGGATGTGTTCTGCTGAATTAGCTTATAAATGCCTTTAATATTTGTTGTGTTTTTAAAACTATGTTAAGTCCAACATCTTTTTTGGGGTCAGTTTGTGAAAAGCAGGCAAAATTGTTTTGTTTTGTTTTTTTCAACGTTTATTTATTTTTGGGACAGAGAGAGACAGAGCATGAACGGGCGAGGGGCAGAGAGAGAGGGAGACACAGAATCGGAAACAGGCTCCAGGCTCTGAGCCATCAGCCCAGAGCCCGACGCAGGGCTCGAACCCACGGACCGCGAGATCGTGACCTGGCTGAAGTCGGACGCTTAACCGACTGCACCACCCAGGCGCCCCAAAATTGTTTTTTAAAAAAGAATTCAAGCTATATTAAAATAGAGAAACATGTAATTCTCTTCACATCATTTGAAAAATTCAAGAATTTCTCCTGTAAATCAACACAGACATCACTGAAAAACTGCACATACTGCAAAGCCGTGGATTTAAAAATAAGGTATGGGAGAAAAAACAGGGTTGGCACAAACCTAAAAACAGATGCCACCTTGTAAACAGAGGACTAAAAAAACAACAGCAACACTAATAGCACAATTAAATCTCTCACAGGCACTGCCAACAAGGTCACTATCAGATGATACCTTTCAGTCCTAAGTCCTGAGTCATTTTTTCCCTTCTTTATAATAAGGGCATACAACTTCTAAGACAGATCAATTTTATCAAAACTAAATACGGGCTCCAGGGAATAGGTAACTCCATCAATCAATTTTTGTAGCACAGGTGTGAGGGGTCCTAAAAACAATGTCTTCACACGTCTTTCTTGTGCATCCACAGTTTCACCCCATAATACTACAGAAAGTGAAGCAGTTCATGAATCCTGCAAACCAGCCACTTCTTTCACCAGAGAAAGGTACTTCTGCAGGTTTTCCACTTCTTTCTTAAAACAGTCCTACATTCTCTTTCATTGTGATCACTTGTTTGCTCAGCCCAGAACATTAATATGCTGGGAAAACTGCACGTGAGTCAACAGAGCAATTTCCACTTTACACTGACCCTGTTCTCTCGCTATCTGATGGTGGATAAGTTAACTCGTGTTAAAAAACACATAGGTAGGAACATAAACCATACGGGAAAAGCCCATTTTCAAAAAGAAACCCAAAACTCATTGGACTTAACTCTTGCTGCATGAACCTCTGTCCAAAGTCTCATATTTTTGGTCATTCTACCAGTAGTTTCTTTTTCTTTTGAGGGTCCTTTTTTGGGCCATCTTTACAGACCAAGGAAAGCTCAAGTTTCCTCTAGCCTGAGATGCTGCTCTGACTTTTTCAAATTTGGCACATGAGTTTTTTTATAGGAATCAGAGGCAGATGAGAAGCAACAGCCAAGCTGTATGTTCAAAAGCCTCACCATAAAGGCATAAGGTGATCTGGAGAATCCTAGATAGCACTCCTAGGATTAACAGCTGGAAATTTCTGTACATTCTTCAACATTTTAAACTGTCGTTCCAGTACTAGATTCTCATTATAGTCCTCACGTTACAATCAGATCAAAGGTTACTTTAGGTTTAAAACCCCACATAACTGCCATCCACTGGTCAGATGTTACTCTTCACAGACACTTCTTTGTATAAATTCCCTTCCCCATTCATTCTGACACACTTTACTTAACAGTAGCATTCCAGGACTTGATCAAGTTTTAGCCTGACCTCCAGGAAGTATCTTGTGTGAAAAGCCACACGTACATCAGATATGATTACCCCAGAGTATTGTGGGGGCAACCGTTTAATGTAATGGTACTACTAAAGCAGTAGCACCGAGAGGAATTCTAAGTGAAAACTGTCTGGGGCCCCTGTGCAGCTCAGTCAGTTGAACATCTGGCTCTTGATCTCAACTCAGTTCTCACAGCTGTGAGTTCAAGCCCCACAGTGGGCTCCACAATGGACGTGAAGCCTACTTAAAAAATAAATTAAAATCAATGGAAAAATGTTTGTAGTTTATCACACTCATCCTCACATCGCTTCAGGGCATTTTAATACCTGAAGGACATTCCCGTACCAGCATATGTATGGAAAGCCTCATTTCATTTAGAAATGCATATTTATGGGGAAAATGCAAACTATACTAGAATAAAATGAAGCACAGAGCTATCTTTACTGTGCTAAAAGCTGATATTGTCATTTATACTGAGAAAGAGATAAAGTATGCGTAGAGGCAAATTTCCACAAAAACAATACGCCAAAGTATGTACAAATTTGGAAGAACATCTCCTCAGAACTTACTAAAAATAACTCACCAGTATTATGGGTGCCACTTTTGGTGCTAAAGCTAATGAGTAATCTCTAAACAAATTACAAAATAGTGTTTGAAAGTCTGAGTTCAAATAAATATGAATTCTTAACTTTAAATGTAAAAGAAAAAAAAAGGTTATGTGTGTGTTTGTTTTTGCTTCTTTTCTGAATCAAAGTATCACAGATCAGGAGGATCTGGTTTACGATGTTCTTTCGGTTCTCAAACTTTTAGATTTGTTGTTTTTATGTGTTAACTTTTTATTTTTAAATAATTTCAGACTTCTAGAAAGATCATAAGATTACAAAAAAATTCCCCATTTACCAAGATTTCTCAAATGTTAACACTGCAGAAGAGATGCCCCTTTACCCTTAAATTAAATACCTATATTTCTTAAAAACAAGGTTATTTTCTCACATAACTTAATACAAATATCAAAGTAAGGAAATTAGCATTTAATAACAAAATACTACTATCTAGTCTACAAAACGTATTCAGATTTTTTCAATTGTCCCAACAATGTCCTTTATAACAAAAAGGAAACCCTGGATCATAAACTGCATTGGGTTTTTCTTCTCTCTTTAGGTTCCTGTAACCTGGAACAGGTTTTTGTTTTTTAGGGTTTTTTTTTTTTTTTTTTGTCTTTCATGACATGGACATTCTTAAAGTGTATAGGCCAGTTATTTTGTAGAACTATCGTCAGCTGGATTTGTCAGATGGTTCCTCAAGATGAGACTCAGGCCAGATGTTAATGAACTTATTGTGATAAATGTTTTGCAAGATATACAAATCTCAAATCATTATGTTGTACACCTTAAGCTTTTACAATGTTATATGTGAATTACATCTCAGTAAAACTAAAAAATAAAACCAAACATAAAAAATGGGGAAAAAAAAAAAGGAAGAGGAGACTCAGGCTGTGCTTTTCTGGCCCAAGTACCACAACAGTGATACTGGGTACATCTTGGTGCATCCGCTCAGGAGGCAAGGATATCAGTCTGTCCCTTCGCTGGTGATAGGGACTTTGATCACTCGGTTAATGTCAATCTGACAGGTTTCTCTATTGTAACATAGTAACTTTGTAATGTTACTACATTTCCTTTCATAATTAATAAACGTCTTATGGTGGGGCTCAGTCAGTTGAGCATCCAATCCTTAATTTCGGCTCAGGCCATGATCTTGCAGTTCATGGGATTGAGCCCCACGTCGGGTTCTGCACTGACAGCACAGAGCCTGCTTGGGATCCTTCTCTCTGCCCCTCTCCTGCTTGAGCACACATGCATGCACACTCTCTCTCTCAAATAAATAAAATTTTTAAATAAAAAATATCTTATGAGGAGATACTTTCAGACTATGTCAATATCCTACTTCCATTAATCTTTTACTCATTAGTTTTAAAACAGATTTTTCAGTAATTCCCCCCTTTCCAGAACTTTCTAAGCTTAGCATGAAGCTCCTTTTATCTCATGTCTACCTGCACAAATGGAGCTACTGCCAGCATCCACTCTGCTCTGAGACCCCTGAGACACAGTTAAGATCTGGAATTCACACATACAATCTCTAGGGCAGGATCACACAAGGACACTCACAAATAAAGAGGAAACCCAGTCTATCGTTTCTTCACATGAAAACAAGAGTGTACCCTCGAGAGATTTTGAGCTGGCAGCTGAGAGCTGTGTAGCATTCCTTGTCTTTGGTGCTGAGAAAACAATGGCCCAGTATTGTATAGAGTTTTACGCCAAAATTCTTCTATTTCACAGTTGAAAGAACTCATTCAGGCAAGTAATATATGTCCAGTAGCAATAATATAAACACTTCATCTTCAACATTTTTCTTTAAAATGTCGGTAATTTAAAATTTTACATATGTTACCATTTTCCAGAAAAGACTCCCCTCTCCCCCAAACCAGAATTCGTAGGTGAATTTTTTGTCTGCCCTCTTTCTCTTTTTCACACCCCTCCCACTTAAAGCTCTTTTCCCTCCTCTACCCAAGGCTTTATGTCCCTAGACTAGAAGCAATCTGGTGAAATCTAATAAAGGGCAGAGGGATGGATGAGTGCTCTTCTAGTCCTAGATTCTACAAAACTGTCCTTACCTGCTGTGGAAAACAGGTGCGGACTGAGTGCTCTGTGTAACCAAAAGATGGCCCTTCAAAGACAGCTGTTGGGAGCTTCAGAACTTCCTTCAGAAACTGGTCAAACTTGCTAAATATCATTAAGCCATTGGAATCTGACATCTGGGAGAAAACATCTATGAGAACAAAACCAAATAAAGTCAAACTAGAAAGAAATATAAACTTTTTATAAATGACTCTATGTTATTTGTATACTGGTCAAAAAGTACCATTAAAAAGTACCATAAAGCTATTATGATTTTTAGTTAATATGTGTTCTCCTTCTTATTAACATTGTATAGTTCCTTTACTGCCCAGCCCTCTCTCCCACCCACTTAATATCTACCTAAATATTAAACCCAATAACCATTCATGGATGTCTACCTACCTCCTCTTTTTGAGTGTACATAACTGAATGATATTTACTTTTTATTTTATTTATAACAAACTTTGTTCCAAGAAGAATTTGTAGCAACATACCTTTATCTCTTAGCATTTATGTATGTGTTTATATAAGACATATACATGCTTGGGTTTATGAATATATTAGCATATTGATTTGGGGGTATGAAACTGTATTATATTTATATATTCATATGCTACTAATGTAATGTATTCCTGTGAAGGAATAAATTTGAAGGAAGCATAAAACATGTTTAAAATATTCCATTCAGTGAGTTCCAAAGTAGAATAAAAAGAACTCCTATAAATTCTTCTACCCCAAGATACTTTGATACTATAAGATCTTATTTTTACCATAAAGTCTGACTCAAGCAGATGGGAAAGAAATTTCTAGTAATACTATTTCTTTATCTTCTTAGAGAGAGTCTTCTCTCTCCAGTTAGTTCTTCCTCTCTTCTCATCCATAGTCGGGGAGAAAAAGAAAAATCACCAGCAGCTCAAAATCAATGTGTCAGAGAAATGTGACCTGAGCTTTTTTTCAAAGTATTGAGCTTCCTTATAAACAAATGGGTGAGTTAAACATGCACAGAAAAATCGTTTCCTGAGGCCCTGCCAAGTGTGGCATTTTAAAAAGTCAGATTCTATACATAATTAATAAGTATAGAACAGATATATATGTAATTGATATATGTTATATATGCATTATTCTTTAGGTTTAATTCGAGGCATTTATCCTGAAGCACTAGGTGTAGAAAAAAAAAATACATTTGAAATATACTAACTAAAGAAAGATAAAATGTTAAGTTATCAACTCCACAGAGTAACTTTTAAAAAACATTAACATTAAAAAACAAGAAAAAGTATCAAAGGAATGAAAATCTACAATATATGCTCTCTAAATAGCTGTTAGTTTGTAGCTGGAGAAAAAGTATTAAATACCCATGGCGGGTGGGGAGATTCAATGAGAGGCTAAAAGAACTACAATCCTAGTGGAAGATAAAATCAATTAATTAACAAACAAATATTAAGTTCCTTCTATGTGGTCCAAGTGCCAAGCATTCTGCTAGGTGTTATGAAACACAACAAAGAAGTATGATGGGGGTCTTTATCCCCCAAGAAACTTTCAGTGTAGCTGAAAAAAAAAAAAGATACATATGAAGCAAAGAAGAATTAAGTGTTAAATTGACACTAAGTGGAACAGAAAGAACAGAGACATAAAGATGCCTGTTAAGCCTATTTGTCAAGTACCACAACAGGTTGTAACCATGGCTGAGGCTGCCTGTAGCCACCCAAAATTAATTATCCTCGTTTCTATTAGTAATAGAACACTAATTTTATTTTGTACAGCAATGCACCCCACTAAGAGATGAAAACTTAATAGCCTCCTTGTAGCAAGTCATGGTCATGTGACTAAGTGGTAGCCAATGAGACTATAAGCAGAAGGGTTATGAGGGACTTCCAGGAAGGTTGGTTAAAGAAAGCTGACTAAGCTGGAAATCAGGCCCTTCTTTCCTTATCCTCTTCCTCCTTTTGCTATCTGAAGTGTAGTTATGATGGCTGGAGCTCCAACAGCCACCTTGGACTATGTGGTAATTGTGATTTTGTTACAGAAGTCATGCACTCAAATGGCAGAAAACAAAGGTAGAGAAAGCCTGGGTCCCAGATGAAATACCACATCAGCCTTGGACTACCTAACCCTGGACTTCTTTTATGTAAGAAAAAAATAAACTTCAGCTTTGTTTAAGACACTATTATCCTGGGTTTTTGTTTTCAAGCAACAATCCCTAATACTAAGTGCCTTATACATTACTAAACAATACCTCATTTTACTCTCACAAAAAGGTGTATGTGTGTACACAGAATTATTTAAATTTTATAGATAAGGAAACTAGCTTAGAAAGGTTAAGTTGCTTAGGGTTAAGAAGTTGGTAAGTAGCTAAGTCAAGATTTAAAGTTACACTTTAAAGTTATACTTCCCTGACTCCATCACACCACACTTCTTCAAAATGTAGTTTAGAATAGTTACAAAACACATAGGCAGTAACTGTCAGGGAAGTTCTAAAAGAAAGGAATTAGAAGCTAGGCCTTGAAAGGTATAGAATGATGAGGTCAAAAGAGGTTGGAGGTGGGGGCTGGGGGACACAACCAGAGAAGAGGAGGCAAGTGTCTATGGCAGGAATTTGTTATCTTTTTTTTTTTTGGGGGGGGGGGGGGGAGGTAAAGCAGGAAACAGTGTACTGAAACAGTGTACTACATTCTTCAGTGAGAGACAATTTAGATTGAGAAATAAAGGGAAATAAAGACAGAATAAGAAACATATCTGGCATGAAAGAAAACTTTGAAAGAGGAAATCACTTTGAATTTGGTTTAAAAACTCTTACGAAGGGAAAAGATATTTAGAAAGCTAAGTTTCTGTAAAATGAGACTGTTAGTGACCAGCAGAATGGATAAAAAAGGAAGAACAGGACTGGGGAAATCAGCTACAAAACCTTGTGGAGGAGGCACAAATGAGGTAGCGAGTGTGTGAACTTCAGTAGTGACAGTAAGGTCAGGGTGGGGGGGGGTCACCTCCAAGACATTTCAATGCAGGAAACCCCTGCTGATGGCAAACTGGATTAGGGAATAAAGGAATTTAAGAAGTTAGGGTTATTATTCTAAGTTTCCAGTTTGGGAAAATGACAACCCTGACTAAAAAACAAAACAAAACAAAAAAAAACCCTGAAGATACAAATATTTATCTTTGCACATAAGTGTATTTGAACCAATCAGCAAATGTCCAGGCAGAACCATCCTGCAGGTAGTTAGAACCGGAGTACTGGGCCACAGCTCAGGACTGCAGATACAGAGCTTTGAAGATGTTGCCAATTATGTGAAAAACTGATGCCCTTTGAAGGAGGGGAGACCATAATAACTTCATTTTTATTTATTTATTATGTATTTATTTTTTTTAAAGATTTTTTTTTTCATGTTTATTTATTTTTGAGAGAGAGAGAGAGCGCGAGAGAGAGACAGAGCACAAGCAGGGGAGGGGCAGAGACAGAGGGAGACACAGAATCCGAAGCAGGCTCCAGGTTCTGAGCTGTCAGCACAGAGCCCGTCGCCGGGCTCAAACTCATGGACCGCAAGATCATGACCTGAGCTGAAGTCAGACGCCCAACCAACTGAGCCACCCAGGCACCCCTAACTTCATTTTTAAATAGCTGGGTGCTAGTCTTATGAGGAAAATAATCATTCATTAAATCTGAACGAAAACAAATGGTCGATATGGGATGCGGCAACATGCCTACTACTCAGTATCTACCTTCCCCTGCTTGCTCCCCAACTGAACCCTGACGGTGATGAGAATGGCAATGTGCTCCACTTGAAAAACGACTTCCCAGTCTCTCTTGTACAAGGTAACTCTAAAGTGGATTTCTGGGAAGGCTTCTGCTTTCCTGAGAGAGGCACTTCTTTCTTCTCTCTGCTTCGAATGAGAACGTGCGGCCTGGCATGCAGCGGTCATGTTATGAACGCAAGGAGGAAAGCCATATGGCAGAGCAGGACGAGAGGATGGGACCTGAGTCTCTGATGACATCCTTAACTCATGGTACCAACTTTGACCTACCTGCCTTTGGACTTAATTTTACATGAGAAAAATACATCCCCAGGTGTTCAAGCCACTGTTGGTTAAGTTTTCTGTTGCCACTCAAGGTATTCAATAACTGATAAATTAGCAAGTTATCAAGTTCTACCCGCTAACTAAATGGTGGAAATATCCAAGACCAGAAACTTTAGCCGCCCAGCACATAAATACACGTATCTACAGCTTCACAGTTACAAAAACATCTGTGTATATACTCGCACTGACACATCTATACCTAACTCATTCAGAGTAACAAAGGAAATAACTGACAATAAAATGACCAACCTTACTCTCAAAAAAGTATTATTTTCTATTACACTTAGTTACTATATCCTATAATATATTCAGAGTAATTTTTTTTAAATTCACTAAAAAAGAAATTATCACTTAATAGGGCCATGTTACAATTATAAGAGAACCAGAACATGTTTCTTTGTTTGATTTAATAAGAGAAATACTGCCAGACCCCCAAATTGAAGGCACAGTGAAGTTAATTTATTATTGCTTGAGTTATTGGTTTACAAAGTTTTTTTTTTAAAGATTAGGCTTCTTTGATCTGTAAGAAAAACAGTAAAAAAGTACCGCAAATTTTTTTTAATCTTAAATGAAGCATAACAATGAGCGAAGTCACTGTGATTTACTATATACAAATACAAAGATCTCACCAAAGTAGTAAGTAAGAGTGGGGCGCCTGGGTGGCTTAGTCAGTTAAGGGTCTGATTTCGATTTTGGCTCAGATCACGATCTCATCATTGGTGACATCAAGTCCCACACTGGGCTCTGTGCTATAAGCACAGAGCCTGTTTGGGATTCCCTCTCTCTGCCCCTCTCTCCCTCTCTCTCAAAATAAATAAATAAACATTAAAAAAAAGAAGAGACAATAAAATTTAATAAAAAATTAAACTAGTCCTCTAATTAAAGCCCTCAACCCTTCGGCATTAAGGGACTAAATTACTTCCCAGAACACTGGTTAATTTCCCCAGTAATTCTTTTTCTATTTATATACCTCTGAAAAAAGCTATGCTAATTCCCCATTAGATGTTTCCAGATTAAAATGTAGGCTTTCTCCCTTGTGAAAAACCCACAATCAAGTCCCTAAATGTATATGTATAC